TAAAAGCTTGAACCCTGGAAGCACTAGATGCCTCTGAAAGATAAGGGTGGAATAGCTTGTGCAAAAAGATCTATTCCTTAAACTGAATTTAAGTATTTAGTTTAAGTGAATTTAATAGTATCTGATTTTATGGCTGGCATGTTAAATTTTTTGTTTTGTAGTTCAGGAAGGCAAGCTGCAAGATTGTTCTCCATGCCTCATTTAGTGCAACAAGAAACAACACTTGCATACCTGGAGAACCAGATCGCAGCAGCACTTATCTTACAATCCAGTCACGAATATCGCCACTGGCTCCTTATCTATGCACGGTACCTAGTTAATGAAGGTGAGATCTGCCATGCTGTGTTACTTCTTTGCAGCTTTGGTAGACTTAAGAAACGCTTTATTCATGTCATGTATATGTATGATTGCACTTAATGTTCTCCTTTCAGCACTTCGCTTCTGGACTCAGTGTTTACTTAAAACCAAAACAAGCAGCTGAAGTGCATTTGCTTCCTGCAGTGCTCAGTACTCAGGAATCCTATTTTGACACAATGTGAACAGATCATGATCTGGGGAAACAGTGCCATCTGTGGACTTCAGCAGTAGGAACAGCATTGTAAGAAAAGTCCAGGTGCCTGTCAGACATCATACGTATTATCTGGCAGTAACTACAGATGTTTTGGAGGAACCAGCACATACTCATATGTAACATTCCTCAGGCAACTGATGATGGCTGCCTGATGTGAAATGGAAGAGTTGCTTGGTTTCTGACACTTTGTACCAGAGCACGTGAAACTGCAGAGAATTTGCTTGTGTTACTTGCACTTTATACTGGTTTCTTACATTCTAAAATTTGAACAGCCTGTACTGGTGAGCTCCACAGGTTAAATTCTGTGAGGAGAGAAACCTGCAAGAAAAGTACTTGTGTCTGTTTTATATTTGAATACACTATATCTCTATGCTATTATGTTAAGTAAGGTTAACCAACTGACTTTATGCTTCTTGGATTCTAAAGATCTCTGTGTCTCCACTTGCCAGCATTCCAAATTTTGTAGTTCCCAGCCTTATTCCTCATCATGCATAATCATTTTACATAGAGGGGAGCTAAGTGGTTCATGTTAGGCCACCTAATAGGTGTTGATTGAATTAAAATTCAAGTCATTGATTCTTGTCTTTTGACCCCTTATTTAACAAAAGAGCTTGATAAACTGCATGTGATTCTCTAGTTGAAATTAAAATGTTATTCTTGGGTCATACATATATTGAAGAGACAGTCACACTTTTTAAAGTCTTCACTAATTAGGAATCTCTATTGTGTGTGCAGGGTTCATATTGCACTACACTAATGTCACAGCCTTGCATGCATGTATACACTGGATGTCACTGCACATTCTGCTCTGCCGCACGTGTATTGCTATCCTAGGTCTGCTGAATTTGAAAATTGCATATCCTGTTATTGACCCTTTATTCCTCTGATGATTTCAACATTTAGTGAATTCTAATCCCTTAAAATACTCAATCTGTTATACCTTGATTGGCAAGTTACTCCTGAACTGATGACTTAGTTACTTCAAGGGAATTCTCCCCTCTGATTTTTAGGTGCATACAGCTGGCCTGGAAACTGTGTGGTTTTATTAAAGGTTTTCTCTTTACCTTTTTTTTAAACTCATACATATTAATTTAGTGCATTTTATTTTAGTCGTAAGCTCTTTTGCTAAAGGTTGAGATTTCTCTCCTAGTTTAGTAATATTTTAATGTATCAGAAGGCCTTTTTAGTTTCCTCACTATGGACTCCATTTTTCCAAATTCATGTATTACCATGAAACGCAACCTAACAACTTTCCCCCTTTGCTGGTTTTCATCTTGTGGCTTTCCAGCTCATGTGATACCTCTTTGTATTAGTTCCCTGGCTGTTAACGTTTTCTAATGTTGTTTTGCTTTTAAAAGCTGGTATCTTTATGTGGGAGGAGGGAGTGAGGTTGAGACCTACTTCAGTTTTTCTCTGTATTGTAGATTATCTCTAGTAGTGGTTTTGGTTTTGAGAACCTAAAATAAAGCCCTTTGGAATTCTAAAATAAATCCTTTATGAATCACCTTATCTTTCCAAAGATTTGCTGTTAGAAGAACAATACATTCTTTCAGAAATCAGTATTTTTGGCTTTATTTTATGCTAGATACTTAAACTCTTTCCTGAATGTTGTCAGTTGCATTGTAGAGGGGTTCTATATAGTGAAATGCTTCTGAATGTGATTTTATTTCTGATAATATTCAGGGTTTGAATATCGTTTGCGAGAATTATGCAAGGATTTACTGGGTCCAGTCCATTACTCAGCAGGAAGTCAGTGGGAATCAACAGTTATGGTAAGTCCTGATAACAGTTAAACAAAACAATGAGGAAGAGTTTCCCCTGAAAATTACAAGACATGGACAGACATTGGAACTGAAAATATTATATTATTAAACTAGTGGCAAAATAGGAATCACATTATTTTTGCTGTCCTTGGAACCATTTCCTTACTCTGTGCTCATCTCATATGCAGGGCTCCTTGCACTACACTTGTATTTATTTCATGTGAAAGCATAGACAAATGTTTATTGCCACAGTTTCAGATCTGATGCTGTCTGGAGTTTCAGGCAGATGGAGCAGAGTTGCGTGTTCAGGTTGTTGCGTTCTTCACACAGCAACTTTGAAATAGTGACAGGCCAGTGAAATGTCTTCCCTTCTCAGTAGGGAAGTCTGCAACTTCAGAGGTGCACCAGCTTCATGAGTGTATAAATGTAAAGATAGTTTTTATTTTAGGATTCATGTAAGCAGGGTAAGAACATAAAATACAGAGCTCTCTCCAGGCAGGAAAAAGGGCATGAATCTTAAACAGCTCTATGCAATATGTTATCAAGTAATACATTCTGAGGACGCTTTTGTGGTTTTTGTGCAGGGTTTACGAAAGAGAGAACTATTGAAAGAGCTTCTTCCTGTAATTGGACAGAACCTCCGCTTCCAGAGGCTTTTCACAGAATATCAAGAGCAGCTAGACATCTTGAGAGACAAGTAGCATTTACCTGGATTTTCCCTGCGGGGCCTGGTCCACGAGAAACTGCTGCACAGCATTAACCAGAGACAGAAGAGGAGCTAGAGCCCAGTGAGCAGGGACACTCCTGAAGAGGGCAGTGCCGTAAGGGTCCCAGGAGTGACCTGGTTTAGTTTTAAAGAAGCTCACAAGTGGATTTGTGAAAATGATGAGTGGATGAGATAAAGCATTTCCCAAGTGAAACCATCGAAGCTGTGGCCTCTGTTTCTATGGAAAGTCGTGGATGTGTACTTCAGGGGGGGTCCTTTTGGATCTGGTTCTCATTTTAATATCAAAACTAGCTGAGAACTGTTTGTGGGGTTTCTTGGATGTCCTGTGAAAAGCACAGTACTTCAGAGTACACTGAACAGCATATTTAACCCTGTTTAGGGTTTTTGCCTGAGGATTTATTGAGGCTCAACACTATATTAAATTAGATGAATGAGCCACATAAAAAGAAATTTCATAAATATTAAGGTATTATGCAGCCAATAGACTCTTTCCTGTGAATATAATAATAATAAGAGGCTGTTCTAACACATGGACTATTTTTGTACTAGAATTTGCTAACTTGTAATATGGAATTTTATTTGGCCGATAATCAGGCTGTCTCTACAAAGTCATCTTGTAGGAAATCTAACTCTAATTACAAAAGCTATGTTTCAAAATAATTCTACCAAATTAACATGTCATCATCTGGTTTTTAATTTTTAAATGTTTGTAAAAGGCATTTTAGGGGGGAGGGAAAGGGATACGGGGGGTGACTCTTTTTGTAAGTACAGAAATAAATGAACATTGCATTGGTTTAAAAAACAAACAGAACAAATGTAAGTCTTGAATTATTACAACAGGCACAAGCATCTCCAGAAATGTCAACGCAGGCTGAATCATGTTAATGTGTCTAGAAATAAATAATACTGTCTGGGTGATCTTTCCTCTGGGAGCATGATCAGACAAGTACTTGTGATCTCCCTGGACAGCTACATTTTCTCCTGGAGCCACATCTCAGCTGGAAGAACAGGAGCTGTGTGGGAGTGCTCATTATCTCGGGCAACACAAAGCAAAATGGGCTTCCCTGACCACCGCTGAAGTGGTCAGTGCAGCAACAAGAAGTGAACTTCATGCAGTTACGACCATGTTCCTTGTGTGGCATTTTGTGACAACACAACAGTGCTGGTGGCCTGCCAGCAGTTCACTTGGGGAGTGGTTTTGGAATTCCACTGAAACCAAATTAACTTGTTTTCCTTCCCTAAGTACACATGGTGCTGGGAAAGAAGCGAGTGGCTATGTTGGTTGTTCTAAGACCTAACTATTCAGGTATGCCTCAATTTACTGCCTTACTTTGAGATGGTTTTGAGTAAGAAAATGAGTACAGAAATGAGTAAGTGTATTTTAAACCCTTGTGAAAGGGCAATTTCTCCCCCAAACTTCTATCAGAAACACACTATCATTCACCCTCAGCTGTGTTGCTGTGGTCTTTGGCTGAAGGGGACTGAGCTCAGAGAGGCACTTCTGCAATTATATGGTTGTCTGGATCCTAGTGGGAGGGATGTGTTCTTTAAGGCAACAAAACCCCACATTTGGAGGGTTTTGTTGCCTCTGTTCAACTGCCAGACCTATGGCCACCTGACTCCTTTGTACAGCAATGTGATATGCACATCAACTGAAGTGTCTTGAAGAGCAATAAAAACAACTGACTTAGCAGCTAGTCTTCAGTATGGCATCAGTGACCTTTCAGCAAGCAGTGGGAGATGTAGCACAGCTTGATTCTGTGTGTGCCGGCTCAGGACTTCTAGCCCAAAAAGTCTTGATAGTACTGTGACAAGCAGTCATGGTAGTGCTGTGATTCATATGCTATTGACAAGTAGGCTACAATCATGGCAGTAGGCATTGTGCTCCTCACAGAGTGGAACAGAACCCACTGAAGTGATCAAAACAAGAGATACATACCACATTCTGGGGAAAGGGTGGGTCTGGTCCAAAGCTTGGTACTGTTGGCAGGAGCCTGGCTATTGGCTTCCGTGGATTTTGACTCTCGATGGTTGACAGAATGTGCAGGCAGCTGCCAGCGGATGCTTTACTGAGGAAAGAATAAATGAACATAGATTGTTTTGGAGGTGTTTGATAGGTGAAAGCTATGAGCCAGGGGCCTGTTTCCTCCCTGCAGAAGGCAAGATGTTTGGATTCTGTCTATCCTTTATTCAGCCTCGTGCTGTTCATGCCAGTCTTGTAATTAATGCTTTTTAACAGGATTTAAAGGTGATTAGCTAAGGGAAAGAAAGTTCCTTGTCATTAAGTCTTCCAAGAGGTGCTGGAATACTTTATGAAGGATTGTCTCGAAGTGTTTCTGTTTTCTCGAGAGGCTCTGTCACTGCCTGACAGGCCAGGAATAAAAAACTATTTAAGTTGTTGCACGTTTTTCTTAAATTCGGTATTTTAGCATTTTCTGCTTACATTCAGCACCTGCTTTTTTTTCAGATGAGCTCTATGAACCCTCTATTACATTACAAAGGAAGCCTGCAGCAAAATCAACGAGGAGCACTCTCAGTGTGGGAGTAGGGGCAGGTTTGTTTTATTAATTAACGGTGTGAACGGGGAAGGCCACGGGAGGGATCAGCCGTTCTCACTACCACTCACCCGCCAAAACTCCCTCAGGTCTTCCCCGGCGTCCCTACCTGGCACCGGTGAGGGGGAACCCAACCGGCTCGCCTTCAGGCCGGCGAGCGGCCACACACGCCTTCACGACGTGCTGCAACCCGGTGCCTGGGCGCCCCGCTCCCTCAGCGCTCCTCCGCTTCCCGCCCCCCATGGCCGGCCCCGGCCCGGAACGTCGCTCACCGCCCGTGTTTCCGCGGCGCGGCCTTTCGCAGCAGCACCGGCACCGGAAGGGCGCAGCAGCCGCAGCCGTCCGGGCGCAGAGGGAGTTCTGTGGGGAGTGGGCAGTTGTGTCCGCAGGGGCCGTGGGCTGAGGCCCCGAGCTGAGCCGCCGCCATGGGGAAGCGGCAGCACCAGAAGGATAAGATGTGAGTGGGGATGGCCCGGCAGGGCGGGGGGAAGTCTCGGGGCCTCCGGCGTGGTGCGGGTGTCCGTGACTGACCGCGCTGTCTCTCGGCAGGTACATCACGTGCGCGGAGTACACGCAGTTCTACGGGGGCAAGAAAGCAGGTAAAGGCGCCCTCCGAACGTGGAGGTGTGGGGGGCTGAGGTGACTTCCTCGGGCAGAGCACAGCCTCCTGGGGTACGGCCTTCGCGCCGCCGGGAACCTGAATTTGTGGTGATCGTCAGCGTGAAAACCGGCAGAAATTCGTGTTAACACACGAATGAGCTGTCCCGGCCTTCATCGAGTTCTGTGCCCGCTGGCAGAGCAGAGCGTGAGTGTTAAACGCAAGCTGGGTGCCGCCAGTCTGACAGAGCTCTGTTTTGATGTGTTTCTATTTGTGTAACTTTACTTGAGGAGGGTCCTTGCGCTCTGCAGTAGAAATCCGGTTTTTGTTACAGTTTTGTAAGGTTTATAGAATCATAGAATGGTTTGGGTTGGAAGGGGCCTTAAAGCTCACCGAGTTTCACCCCCCTTCCACAGGCAGGGACACCTTCCACTAGACCATGTTGCTCAAAGCTCTGTCCAAGTGTTATTAATAATGTAAATTTAGTGTATCTACCCTTGTCATCAGCGAATTGCTACCATGCATGTAGCAAAATGTAAATTTCAAGTGTTTATTTTTTACTTCAGAATCATAGGATCAGAGGATGGTTTGGGTTGGAAAGGACCTTAAGATCATCTAGTTCCAGCCCCCTGCCATGGGCAGGGACACGTGACACTAGACCATGTTGCTCAAGGCTCTGTCCAGCCTGGCCTTGAACACTGCCAGGGATGGAGTATTTACTATATATTCATTACAATTCTGTTGTGTTGTTTTGTTGTTGTTTTTTTTTCTCATCAACAGACCTTCCACGAACTAATTTCAGACGTTTGTCATTTGATCACTGCAGGTAAGACAACAGATATACATTATCATTATTAAATGACGCATGTATTTATCAGGCTGGTGACACTGAACTATAACTGAAGACACGTTCTTCTGAGGTAGTTACTTTCATTGGCTTGTGCCTCCTATGATAGTAATACAGCAAGAAAAAAAATTGGTAAGAGCTAAACCAGTGTCTATACTTTCCATGATTAGTGTCTGCAAAGATTGGAGCTGATGGCTAAAGAATACACAAGTGATGAAATAATTCAGAACAATTATTATATACGTTTCAGTCTTTCAAATTTGTGTAACTGGAGCTTGAGTCTCCCTTTCATTGCTCAGACTATGCTTTGTCAGTCACTCGTCTTTCTGAAGCAGTGATTAGGTATATTGAAGCAATATTTATGTTCATTTTTTTGTGTTCAGAGTTTACTGCTTGAGGTGCTGGAGTGAAAGAGGGAAGTTAGTAGAGATGGGTTGGAAATCCTCTTGTAAATTGAATAGTTCATATGCAAACTACTGCTGCTTGGCTAGAAGCTGGCTGCTTTATGGAAGCATCCTTAACAGAGAGCGCTGAATATGAATGCCAGTTACTCCCAGGTCCTTTTCAGTGCAAAGACAGTGAGTGTTTCTGCTTGAACCATCTTTTTGTTGCTGGTGGGGCACAACATGTCAGTTAGGGAGTATTGCAGCATCCCATGGTTCTATGGCTGTGAGTGCTGGCTGCTCCACATTACTAAACTGCACCAGTTCTCTTCATGGGTTTGTTGTTAACATGATTTTTGTAGAATCAGGTAGTGGGTATTGGCTGTCACTCAGTATTTTTATTAGGGTAGGCCTTACTTTAATGTGCAAGTGAATCATCAAAATGTAGTTTGCTTTTGTCATGATTTCCAACTGATTTTGCTAAAAAGAATGTGTACTTTTTTTTCCTAGTTTGTCTCTACAGCCATTTGAATACCCAGTTTGCACACCAGATGGGACAGTCTTTGACATACTGTAAGTTACTGTCTGTACTTAGCTTTATTTTTGTGTTGCTGAACTGGTTACAGCTGTGTGGTTGTCATTTGGTCGTAGCAAGTTGGCAAAATAATCATGCCTATCAACAGAGTTTTCTGATTGTGCTTGTCACTTATTATTTTATCCCTTCTCTTTTCAGGAGCATTGTTCCTTGGATAAAGAAATATGGAACTAATCCAATCACAGGAGAAGTAAGTAACAATGGGTGTATTCACATGATGTCTTTGCTTTCCTTGTGCTCTGTTTCCTAATTAACATGTCCCTTATGCTCTTGTTTCCTATTTAACATGTCCCTTATGCTCTGTTTCCTATTTAACATGTGAAAGAAACAAAATGCCTTAATGAAAGCAAAAGAAGTTGAACAGGAGTGCTGTTTTGAATTATGGTATCTGTGAGATTGACTTTGCAGAAATTAATGTAGAGATTTACTAGGGATCTCTTTTTAGCTGGGGAAAAAAAGGGCTTCTGGATTTGCGACCTGATAGCCTCTCCCTGTCATCCTGCTAATGATCTTTGTAGGAGAAAATAATCAGTCTCAGATCATGTGTGTGGAAGAAGGAGGGTTGTAAATAGTATACTATGTGCACTTTGTTTATATAAATTCCCAGGGTATCTTGCCTTTCTTACGGGTGTGGCATAGGTATAATCTGTAGAGATGGAAATAGGAGCTTTCATATTACTACTAGTGATGCCCAGTCAGCCCAGCTGGTCACTGATGGAAAAGACTTTGTCCTGCTGCCTCATACAAGCACTGTTCTAGTTTGTACAGGGCAAGGGGCTGGCAAGCTCACTCCTCCATCTGGGACTAAACTTGCAGTGATGTTTTCTAAACGGAAGGATGTTTGTCTTCATGCAGATTAAGGAGATAAATAGATGATATTATGAATGGTCAGATTAAGCTACAAAATCTTTTGAATTATGTTGACAGTATGTTTCAGAAAGCCTCTGACCTGCCTCTGTTGTGATAGTTCACTATGAGACTGGGATTTCAGGACCCTAGTGGTTTTTCTCCCTTCTTTTTCTGCATAAATGGTAGTTTTGAAGGGGTCATTTTCTGTAGTAGTGTGACACTATAAAGCACCAGATAAATATGAAGTATTGGAAATATTTCCGTGTTGGAATTAATTTTTTTCTACTGTGTTAAAAGATTGAGTGCATTGTTTGTGAGGGCAGAGAGGGAAATTTTAAACAGAAATTGTTGCTTGAGCTACTGAAACTTGCCTTTTCCTTTAGTAGGTGCAGTTACTTTCCCGAGCAGTAGGTGGCAGGCATTGCACAGGGTTGTTGGTTTGTTTGCAGACAGCTTTGTGGAATGAGATTACCTCTGAAACATCTTGTGTTTGATTAAAGATTTTCCCAGCAGACAGATTCGAGGAGAAGCTAAATACAGATGCAGCATTCCAAACTCTAAACGTGAACAGGCTGTCTGAGACTCAATCTCTTCAGTTATAGCAAACTGCAGGTGTGTTTGTGTGATAGAGAGATGATTGAAGGTCTTTCTTCACACATGAAGAGGCCAGTGTTGTTGAGAAGGAATAGAATTACAGCTGTTTATTTGTTTTCACCAGCTTCTAACCATCTTTCTGCCTCGTGCATTGGTTGGGAGTTTTAGGGTTTTGCCAGATCAGTTTTTTTCACTCAGAGCAGCTCCATGACACCTGTTCTCATTTCAGAATGTGAACCGTGATGTGGTTTAAAATTACTTCGTGTAAATGCTAGGCAAGTGTAACGTGCCTAGTGGTTTTGTGTAATTAGAGAAAGGAGGTTGTGCATAATGTAGTTGGTGAGCCAAAAGTGCTCAAATGAAGTTGGACTTTGGAATGTTAGTTTACCCAGACTTGTGCTTCTGTAGCTGATTTGCAGTGCATCTCCAGCTCACCTCAACATGAGCTCCCTTTCCTCTGTATTGCTCTGTTTGGGGAGCCCTTTCTTCTCTTTTGTTCAGTGGTGGACTTGTACACTACAGTTCTCTCCTCCACAGGACAAAGGTGTTCCAGACCACTTGGAAGAAAAACTATATTCTTGCTATCCAGAGCCCTACTGAATCCATCCCTGTGGAGTTATAAGTTGAAGAGTGGGGTTGAATAAAGTATTGTAATTTAGCCTTTTATTTCCCAGAGGCCTAGCTCTGGTTTTTGGAAGGGGAGGATGGTGTTAGGCAAGAAGGGGATGAAGGTGCTGGGATGAGGGAGGGTAGGTCGCAGAGGAAGTTGGAGAGGAGCCTGTGCATCTCTAGGCTGTACAGCCCTCTATTTCATGTGTCATTGTGTGTGTACCTTCTGTTACTTGTATAGCTTGTTCATTTTGGAAACCAGGAAATATTTTCTGTAATGAATTGGTGACTTGCAGAAACTCAGGATTCTGGGTTTGAGCCGGATTAGTTGCAGTGCCATGTTTTGTATGGCGATTTATGAAGTTACTTTGCACAGATTGATCATTTGTCATTGGTGATGAGAGTTTGCAGAATTTCTTCCAAATTTTTGCTCTGAAGTTAAAAATGAAATCCTTTGTGGCTTGTGCTTCTATTGCTACAGTTTGCTACAGGCCAAATGTTTCTGAGAAGTCAATAGGCTGTTTGAAAAGTGTCAATGGTGCACTCTTGGTACTCACTAATCCTGCCTAGCTGTCTTATTTCTGAAGTGGATCCCTTAGTGGAGAGTTGGAGAGCCTTGCAATCATAAATGTATTTACCTTCACAGTGCCCCCAGGGGGTAGGATTGTGCTTAAGCTTTTATTAATTGGATGTTTGGTGAACTGATCTACATGTGACTTCTCTGATTCTTCTGAATCCTAAGCTATTGGACCGGTCTTCCTTTTTAAAGACATTTAGCAATGCCAAGATTAGTTATTCTTTGATATGTTTAAATATTTTTTTTTCCTTTGCTTTCCTTCCCTATACTTCCTCATGGTTCATGGTTTATTTTTTCTTGCTTTTCTGAACATTCTCCTGAGGTGCAGTATGGACACCAGTATCCATATCCATTTAGAAGAAACAAATCACCATTGACCTTTGTCTAGAGTTTTCCATGAGCTATTCCAGAAAACAACTTTAAATTAATTACCTTCCCCTCCCCATCCTTTTTAAGAATGCTTTGGGGTGAAAAATACTTCTGTTACTAGGCCAGTAATTTTGGAAGAAACACGCATTTCTCACAGCTGAACTACAGCCTGTCAGGTGGCATTGGCTCACTTTTATTCTCAGCTTTGTCAGGACACTGCTCTAGCTTATGTTTATGCTAAAATTGCATAAAATAAAGAAGAAAGTCATAGTTAGCTCATTCCTTTTTACTAAGAACAGCACTTTGGCTTCTTGGGCTTGCAAATAATTGTAAGCTTGCCAGAATGTTTCATGTAGCAGTGATATGACAGCCCTGACCAGCATGCCCACACAAGTCAGCCAGCTGGGCTCTGAAGTACCTGTTTCCAAGAAGTGAGATTGGTCAGAGTGTGTCTGGTTTGTTGAAATCTGAAATCTGAACAGATGATAGATCAGCATGCCTTTTGACAGGAATTTCAAGGAAATTGTTCTTTGTTGCATGGATATGTTGTATGTGGGCTGAGCTATTTTTGCATTGTAATCTGTCTGATGTAAATACCTATTTTTCCACTCTGGTTCAGTGACATTCTACTGCATGTGGGCAGGCCAGATTATTGTGGTTGTACTTCAGCTCCATTCAAGGCTCTTGGCCAAATATCTCTCTTCCCCTCTCAGAAGTAGCTATGGTCTTTGTCCCCAGTTCCCCCTTTTCTGTGGGAATTTAATTCTTTCAGATAGTTGAAACTTAGTTCATCTCTGGTGTTTGCTTTTAAGGCTTTGGTCCAAAGTCTATTTAGTGACTGTTTCAAGTGCATCTACTTTTAAATTCTCATAGCAGGGTCACCTATGTGAATTCTTTCTGCACTGCTGACAGCAAACTAAAATCCATGTGTCTGCTGATCCTGCATAACCCAGAGAGGCAATCCCCCTGGTAAGGGCCACGTGCAGCTGAGCAGTAGTTGCGTATGTATAGCTTGAAGGGCAAACAGGATTCAGTTGAGTTAATTTAGCTTGGGCTTAATGTATGCCCAAGAGTCAGGTTAGAAGACCTGAACATGCTGTGTGGTGGATGTATGAGACTAGGAGTCACGTTTCTGGACTGAAGGAGGCAGAGCACAATTTGTGTCATGCCCTATCTCATGCAAGGTTAAGATCCAGAACTACAGGCCAGAGAGAGTTTCTTCTTAAGTGTCATAAGGCACTGACATGGAAAATGAGGACTGACTTTGGAGTGAGAAAGCTGAAAATTTCTAACTTTTCCCAGCAGAACATCTGCCTTCGTAGAAGAGACAGCTGTAGCCGAAGTCTTGCTCTGTAGCAAGATAAACATTTGCTATTGTTCTCCCACACTCTTAATCCTGTGTTTACCAAATAAAAATGATTTGGGGTGAGATTATGACTAATATTATCAACTAATTGTGGTAGTACAGGTGCCTCATGCAGTAAGCCTGTCTGATCCACTCTTTGGAAGCACCCAGAGATGCACATCTTGTACCTGCAATGCCCGGCAGCAGTGACAGAGCCTTAGTGGACACCTCCTCCCTCCAGCATTGCTCACATAGCAATGTGAGCAGTGCTCTTTTATTTTAATCATTTGTTTGAAATAAGATTGGTAGGGTGATTCCTGCCTGAATAATTACAGGCACTTTTAGAACCAATAATTTCTTACCCTCAAAAGAAAAAATCTGAAACCAAGTCTTGTTTTTTCAAAACTTTGTAAAGTAATTCTCAAACACATTCCTTAAATATATTTATTAGCTAATTCCTCTTCCAGATGCTGGTGGCTGTTATTCCTTAATTTTATTGTGAAATCATGGTTTCTTTTCAGTTTGATTAACGTATTTTTCAGCCAGTCTCATAGAAAACAGTTGCTGGTCTTGTGAGAGAACCTTGCTGGCCAGGTTAATGGAGAGGATATGGAGACGGTTACTGGATTTATTAATCCCACTTTAAAAATGAGCAAACAACCTTACAGCAGTTATGTTTACATGCACTAAAAAAGCCTTTGGCTGTCTAAATAAGGGAAATCCTGCCTGAAAAGGATGCAGAAATTGGAGCAAAGGTGAAACTTCCTTAAACATAAAAGTGTTTTTACTGTGTATATATTTTGAAAGCACAGATACAGAAACAGAAAGCACTGATAAATGGTTCTTC